GAAATAGTGACGTGACATTCTGCACACAGCTGTCTAGGGAGCATCTTAAATATTTGATTGGTTTTCGCAAAGCCACTGTCTGAGGTCAGTGTGGCCGCTGCAGCTGATGTGCCGGAGTTTCCGTTTCGAGCTAAGCTGGGATGCAATATTGATTCCTCAATTTAGATTCTGGATTTCCCGTGTTAGGTTTGCCGCTGTGTGTCAAGTCAACTATGTTTCTCGTTCAGTATAAACCCCCAATCCCGCCAGTATAAAATACAGTTAAGACTTGTCGAGCAAGTTACACCCCATCGTTCAGTATAAATACAAGAGGCCACCAGTATCAAATAGAGGGATGACCGAATAACCAAACATAGTTGGCCACAAACCACCATTCAGTATAAACACAAAAGCCCACCAGTATAAACTAGTATTCTGAGACTGTAAAGCAATGTTTTTATACTGAAGTCCATTTGGATTTATACTGGGAGCTTGCCCCGCATCATTCAGTATAAACCCAAAATACCACCAGTATAAAATGAGCTCCAAATAAGGTACAATATCTGTATTTTATACTGAAGTCCATTTGGATTTATACTGGGAGCTTGCCTCGCATCATTCAGTATAAACCCCAAATACCACCAGTATAAAATACAGTTAAGACTTGTTGAGCAAGCCACCAAAACATAGTTGGCCACAAACCACCATTCAGTATAAACACAAAAGCCCACCAGTATAAACTAGTATTCTGAGACTGTAAAGCAATGTTTTTATACTGAAGTCCATTTGGATTTATACTGGGAGCTTGCCCCGCATCATTCAGTATAAACCCCAAATACCACCAGTATAAAATGAGCTCCAAATAAGGTACAATATCTGTATTTTATACTGAAGTCCATTTGGATTTATACTGGGAGCTTGCCTCGCATCATTCAGTATAAACCCCAAATACCACCAGTATAAAATACAGTTAAGACTTGTTGAGCAAGCCACCAAAACATAGTTGGCCACAAACCACCATTCAGTATAAACACAAAAGCCCACCAGTATAAACTAGTATTCTGAGACTGTAAAGCAATGTTTTTATACTGAAGTCCATTTGGATTTATACTGGGAGCTTGCCCCGCATCATTCAGTATAAACCCCAAATACCACCAGTATAAAATGAGCTCCAAATAAGGTACAATATCTGTATTTTATACTGAACTCCATTTGGATTTATACTGGGAGCTTGCCTCGAATCATTCAGTATAAACCCCAAATATCACCAGTATAAAATGAGCTCCAAATAAGGTACAATATCTGTATTTTATACTGAAGTCCATTTGGATTTATACTGGGAGCTTGCCTCGCATCATTCAGTATAAACCCCAAATACCACCAGTATAAAATGAGCTCCAAATAAGGTACAATATCTGTATTTTATACTGAAGTCCATTTGGATTTATACTGGGAGCTTGCCTCGCATCATTCAGTATTAAACCCCAAATACCACCAGTATAAAATGAGCTCCAAATAAGGTACAATATCTGTATTTTATACTGAAGTCCATTTGGATTTATACTGGGAGCTTGCCTCGCATCATTCAGTATAAACCCCAAATACCACCAGTGTAAAATGAGCTCCAAATAAGGTACATATCCAAAATCAAGAATTCGGTGCCCCAATTCTTGTTTATGCGCTGTTCTCAACTTGCAAGAGCCCCGCGAAGCATTTTCGAATGAAGGGTTTAGCTATCACCGAATTTACGGTTTAGCTAAAGCTGCAAAGCTTTAGGTGTCCTTTAACCCGAATTAAATAAAGACGAAAACAAAGTCCAAATTGATGAAGGTTGCTAAACCCGAAAGTAGGGTTTAGCTAGACCCCAATTCAGGATATTCCGTGTTTTCTCAATCCCAAACCATCCAAAATCAAGAATTCGGTGCCCGAATTCTTGTTTTCGCGCTGTTTTCAACTTGCAAGAGCCACGCGAGCAGCTTGGCATGAAGGGTTTAGCTATCACAGAATTTAAGGTTGAGCTAAAGCTGCAAAGCTTTAGGTGTCGTTTAACTCGAATTAAAGGACGAAAGCAAAGTTCAAATTGATGAAGGTTGCTAAACCCGTAAGCACGGTTTAGCTAGATCCGAATTCAGGATATTCCGTGCTTTCTCAATGCAAAACCATCCGAAACCAAGAATTCGGTGCCCGAATTCTTGTTTTTTCGCTGTTTTCAACTTGCAAGCGCCACGCGAAGCAGCTTCGAATGAAGGGTTTGGCAATCACCGACTTTAAGGTTTAGCTACACCTGTGCCAAGGTTTACAAATAGTACCATCACCGATGAGAGGACCGGCAAGAGCGGGAAACAGTTACAATCAGGAACGCGAAATCAAATGGAACTGAGCCACAAGACATCACAGGCACATTCATTCACAACAATGCTTCAAGCCATCCAAGACGACACATCTCAGAAACACGTGTTCTCCAGCAGGCATCCACTTTGCAGTCCCTCTGCGACCTGGTTTCGTCATCAAAAGTTTTGCATGCATTAAGCTCCCAGTATAAATTCAAGTGGGCTTCAGTATAAAATGCAGATATTGTACCTTATTTGGAGTTCATTTTATACTGGTGGTATTTGGGGTTTATACTGAATGATGCGAGGCAAGCTCCCGGTATAGATCCAAATGGACTTCAGTATAACACACATCTCTTGTTTTTTGCTGGTGGCCTTTGGTGTTTGTAGTTAATTATGCGGTGTAAGCCCCCAGTTCGATCCCAAATGGACTTCCGAACAGTTGCAGCAATCTTCTTGTAATGTATGCAAGAGATTCATCTTCAGTGCCACATGACTGCCTGGCTGGCTGGCTCACTGAGGTCTGTACGAGACGATGCTGCCACGAGCAGTGGCAGGCACGCTTCTTCAATACGTATGATTGATGACTGTCTAACGTCATGTTGGTCTTCTTGTGCCAGGGCAGCAGAAACCATGCAATGCATTGAGGCTCCCAGTTCGCATAGAGTCGGGCTGCACAGTCAGGGTAGGGGGACAATGGTGACAAAGGCGCAGCGGAAACCTGCTGCAACTGGTCAGGGGCGAAAGAAGGTATCGGTGCAGAACGTGGCCAAGGCCATGGCGCCTCCAAAGCGGACAGGCTATGCTCTCATCCTACATGAGCATTTCCGGCGAGTTCGTTCCAGGATTCTGGAAGAGAATCCTGATGTCGCCCAATCGCAACGACGAGCCATTTCAGAGGTGAGTCTGATGTGGAGAAACTTGTCTGAAGATGAGCGGCAAGAGTGGACTGATAGGTCCGCATTTGAAGTGCAAGCTCGGTGGGAGGCGATTAATCGCATCACGACCTTCCAGCCTGATGGTGAAGCTGCATCCGGAGCAGGGGCACACAGAGGGTCACATGCACAAGTTGGCTCCTTCCAGCTCGAGGCCACCGTGGTCTGGGAAGGACAAGAAGTCAAAGCGGTGAAAGCGCACGAGGTCGACCTGATGTTCGCAGCACAGGCATTTGTTTTCGAGGACAATGCTTCGTTCAATCGAGAACTCAAGTGTCTGCACAAGCTTGCCTCAGCTGCAGACGGTGACAAGACCTTTCGTGCAGAGCTTTACCTCCACTTCTACGATTGCGTGAGCTGGGACTCAGCCTGCATGACGGTCATCTATGAAATGCTTCCAAGGCTTGACACATACATCTTGCAAAATGGTGCAGTATCCGGGGTGCAATTGCAAGCTATGTCCAGGCAATTGGCATTGGGGCTTCACCAATTGCACAAGATTAACATGATCCATGGTGATGTGCGACCTGCCACCATCTTTTACCATCCGCAAGAACGCTGCGCGAAAATAGCCAGGCTCTTTGGATTGATTATAAGTCCTGACCTTGTTTGTTTTTGGTTTACCTGCGTTGGGCTTGAAGATCTTTGGGTCCCCTGTCCAGGTATGCGTTTTCTGTCGACCTTCCGCATGATGATCTGAAAGTGTCACCGTACACTGGGCCATATCGTGCGCCAGAACTTTGGAGTAGCCTTAGAGGACTACGACTGAATGCCCAGGCAGAGTCCTGGGCATTTGGTGCCACATTGGGTGAAGTCGCATCCGGCCAGACGGTCTTTCCAAGCATGTCAATGATTTTAAACTTCAATGGGAGCCGGCTGCCCCCTGCCCTTCGCGCGCTCCCTGACAATGTTTCGGAAGTGTGCTTGCATTTTCTTCAGAAAAACCCCGGTCACCGAGTCTCATTTCAGGACTTTCTGCTAGGCCCGTTGCCTCGCGAACTAGCTGCTTGACGAGACATGTCGTCTGCTGGTCTGGAGATAGTTTCCAGTAAGATTTTGACACCATCGGTGACACTTGTACAATGATCGTCTATGACATGCCCGGGCTTGCCATGCTGTGTGGCAATGTTTCGTGGCAGGGGCAACATTTTCCAGGGTGAAGTCTTTGCTTCCTCAACTTGTCAACAGCAACGTCAATTCGATACGTCAGTTTAAGCCAGTCTGAGAAGCTTGCTGTGCACACACTTTATTCATGAGAAACCTGTAGAATGAGGTTGACGTTGAAGAGGCCAGGCTTCTTCGCAGAGACTGCCCAGCAGTGCTGTGTGTGGGATGCATCTGAGCAAAGCGAGCTGGATGCTTCAGAGTGAAAAGGTGATGTTCTGGGCCTGAGCACGGCAACAGCTGACCCGAGCCAGTGCAAGCAAACTCCTGATGTTGTCGGTTGGCCGCCCGCTAACCACAGTTAGAGAGTTTTCATAGCGCCAAGGGGATAATTGGGGTTGGCCGCCCGCTAACTGGGAAGAGCAGGTTTGTTGGTAGCCTTCATACCTTTGGATTACCTGTCCTAAGCTGATGTTCTGGGTTGGCCGCCCGCTAACCAAAGTTATCTAGTTTTCATAGCGCCAAGGTGATAATCCGGGTTAGCAGCCCGCCAACTGGCCAGAGCAGGTTTTTGTGTCCACGCGTACAGTCAGAGTGAAAAGTAGATCCTCGGGGTGGCACCTGAGCTCGCGGTAGAGCTGCGGAGCGGGCCATGGATGACGCTATGAGCCTTGCTGCTTCCTCTGATCAGGACTGCGAGAGTGACGATGGCCTTGCGGTTTCTCCTACTGGGGGCAGTGTCCATAGCGGAAGTGATGACGCTATGAGCCTGGCCAGCTCCTGCGAAACGCACACGGTGAGTCTTCAGAGTAGTTCCCTTGGGGTGGATGGTGAGTGTCAGCCACCAGACCGCAGGGCCAGCTTCAGGATGCATTCCCGCGAAAGCGAGCCCGGCAAACCGCTTGACGAGGGTGTGTTGCAGCGAAGCATGCGGTGGGCCTGTGTGTTGGTCGAGGCACTGCAAGAGAAGTTCAGTCATGCAGAGCTACGGTCAAGCTTATGGTGCAGCAGTCGACAGGTGACGACTCACTGTAGTGGTCTTGGTGCTGCTGAAGTGGCGCTAGAACTGCTGAAAGCCGCGTCCGAAATCTATGCCCAGGACCTGTCCCTCAAGCTGACCATGTCCGCATCCTGCGACAGCAGCTCTGCTTGTCGAAAGATTCTCCTGCTCAGGGATGCTTCCTCACATGTCTTCGGTGACATCTTCACTTCGTTCCCTGGGTGGCCCGGCAAGTCGGGCACGAGGACACCGGCTCAGAACTTGGCGATGTTGGAAGCCCTCTACCAGGGTGACTTGGGCTCGCACTGTCCCTCGTCCGAAGTGGAAGCTTAAGTTCATGGCGCATGCTCAGGAACCAAGCTGGCTGGCAGTTTGGAAGAGTGCGGTATTTCCTTGATGGTTCATTTTCAGGAACCTAGCCCCAAATGCTTTCAAGGACCCCAATCAAGGCTTCAAGCAAGACTTGGAAATTCATCTGAAGTCAGGTGATCGCCACCTGCAGCCGTGCTGTCACTTCAAAGCTGATGGTGACCTGACTGGCTCGCCTTGCCAACCATGGTCCCAGCGCGGACTCCGACGCGGACTGTGCGATGATCGGTCAGCGGTGACAATGGCTTGGATGGTGAGAGTGAGAAAGGAGAGAAGAAAGTGGGTGATACACGAAAACACGCCTGGTTTCGATACCAAGTTGCTCGACACCTACTTGGGTGAAGATTACGAGACTGGGCCTGCGAGTACCGTGCTTTAATATTTAGTTGTGTTACCTAGACCTAGACCTAGTCCTTGAAGAATCCGTTCGTATAGTAAGTCTGTTCTTTTGACTCGGGGTTTATTTCGAAGCCCAGGACATGTATCACATGGTGCTCTCGCCCAAGGACTTGGGCGAGAGCACTCGTCGAAGCAGGGTCTACTCCGTGGGGTACCTTCGCTGCGACGTCCAGGTGAAGGTGAACCCCGAGGCTTCGTTCGGCTAGCTGTCGCGGCAGTAGTTGGTCATGTTTGTCTGGAGTCGTCTTCATTCGTCATGTCTCTCTGTCAGGTGATGTGTCGAGAACTCGCAGAATGCTTGAAGGTGAAGAACACGGAGCCTCCCAGTGCCAGGGATTTGCTGATAGCCTCGAAGAGTGAGGTTCTGCAAGAAGAGAATCGTCATAGGCGGAAACGTGGGCTGGAACCGCTGGCAGCTTGCTCCAGCGACTGGACATACTTGCTCACCCCTGGTCGACAACGGTGTCTTGTCTCGATTCCCTGTCTAGTCTAAGTTCCATTTGTGTTTCTGCGCATTGTTTGCTGGTATCTTCGGCATGGCCAGCTTATGGCTGTTGGTCGCTGAATTGAGGTCTCTTGCGTTCAGCCTCGACACCTGGAAGAGAGTGAACGTTGGGCAGGACCCCTTCTGCAGGCCTGATCTGGTTTTTGACGTCAGCCAAAACTCCCTGAGTGTCTTGGCTGCCAACAGGCATGAAAATCCCTAGGCAGTTGTGTGGTTTGGACTCCTTCTTGGGAGTGCAGCAAGGAGGCTACAATGTGTATGGTGATTCGGAGAATGGGCTGCCGTGCTTGACAAGAAGCTCTATTCTGTGGCACGTGACCTCCAAGCGGTGGATGCTGCCGGTTGAACTTGCAGCCTCGCTCGGACTCCCTGTGAGGGAGTGCTTGGCACAGGCAGCACACCTTCAGCATGTCGATGCAGGGTCAGCTTTGTACAGCCCAGAACTGTTAGGCAATGCGGTGCACGTGCCAAGTATTGGCTTGATCCTTGCTACAACCCTAGTCTGTGCCGGTCCTAGATCGCAGAGCTGAGCGGTGAAGAAACCGGTGAGGGACGGCAGAGATCGCAAAGCGGTGAAGCAAACGGCGAGGGGTGCCACATGTGAGAAAAATCAAGTGCCGGAGCACGGGTCAGCACCCCCGACGTGCTGAGAATCACCCCGTTCACTTGCAGCATCACACGTGCACTTGTGCAGGCCACTGTCGTCAGGCCTCGCGGCATGTTTGTCTATGTGGCCTTGGAGTGTTTTTCGTACGTGTGCATGCTGCCTTGTACTGAGCAAATGTCTACATCGCCCGGTTACAGCAGCCGGGTTCAAGTCTTGAAAGAGAGGCAGAGGCATCATAGCAAGCATGCCGCCCAAGAAGGGTCAGGAGCAGGTAAACAGTGACCGCGCTCCCAAGTTCGTGCGTCATGTCTGCTTTGGATCACACATGGTCGGTTGAGGGTTGTAGCTTGGCTGAAACGTTTTGTAGCTGCTGAGGAAAAGCGCGCTTTACAAAGTCTCAGACATCGCCATCGATGACTCTAGCGGATGGAGACCTCTGGAACCAGCAAGGGTACAGGAATTGGTTGACTCCTTCAAGAGAGGGTCATATGGTCAATCCACCCTTGCGCCTCCCAGCATCATCAGTGACGCCTTCAACTTGGAGACTTCGTTTACACATTTGGTTGGCAATGAGTTATTTCTGTTCCTGGTTGCACATGCATTCAGATCGGTCGTGTTCTCCCTCAGGGTTGACTGATTGCGTTTCAGGACGGCCAGCCACGGCTGGACAATGGGAAGCATTTGACAGCTGCCTTGTGCGTCCTCTTGGAAGAGGGTGAAAGTGCGAAGCGCGACGGGCTCGAATTGGTGCATCGGCTAGCACTGGTCTTTGCCGTGTGGCTCTGCTTTTGGGCTTTCGTCCGTGTTCTAGGAATGTCGAAATGTGCAGAAGCATGGCCAAGGACTGGTGGTCGGGTCGATTGAAGGAAGCTTTGGAAGAAGGAGTCGCGAGCGGCATTGGTTTCGCGAAGCATGCCCTCTATCGCAATGTTATGTGCTGTGTCGCAGGACTCCGCTACGACGTGGTGAGCTACGGTCCTGGTTCTTTGGACCTGGAGTTTGTCATCGCCTGGCAGGCGCTCTGTCACGATACCGAGAGCAATCGGCTTCTTGGCCACATAGCAGTAGGCAACCGAGCTCTTTACCACTGCGGCTCTTGCTAAGGTATCGTCCAACATCCCTGGAAACGAAAATCCAGGTCTGCAATTCGATGCGTGATCGAATCCGCGGGGGTGATTGGCAAGAGGTCATCAAGGACTGTCTAGGAATGCATACTGATTTGGAACGGCAGTCCCCATCCCTGCTGCGTTGCAGGAGTTGGTGAACTTCTATGGTAGCGGCAAGAAGTCCACCGTTCTGCGGTGGGTGGCTATGGCAAAGGCACCATTCTCCAAAGACCCGAAGATCATGGCCTTTCTAAAAGACAAGAGTGACTGGCAGCACGGTTACGTCCAGGACTCAAAGACAAAGCTGCGGCTCACTTGCTTGTCATGTTCAAAGCATATCAAACCCGAGATCATGGGCAACCGCTACTTTGTGAGTGAGGAGGCCTCCGCCCGCCTCCCGGAGGACAGCTACTACCAGAAGCTGAAATAATTACCAATATTATGGTTAGAGTTCCTTATTAAGTATAGTATAATGGCCCAAAACCCTATTCTAATTATTCAGGCCCCCACATTAACCCGACAGGAGTGGGCCTTCTGGGCACTCGATCTCCTTCCTCAACGAGACGTTGTGCAAGAGAAGAGCGGTGAGCGTGAACACGTTCGTCTCTGAGTATTGCAAGCCGATGCTTGCAGCAGCCCAGTGGGTGAAATTCCTGCAGTCAAAATTTGGAGCTGCAGCGGTGAAGCAACCCGTCGTGCAGCGCTGCATCCGGCTTCTTCAGAGTGAAGGTGCGGGGGTGCACTTGGGAATCGAGCGGTCTGCTGTTGCTTTGTCATCGCGCACTCTCTGCTTATTCCTCGTTGTCTGGAGGAGGCCGCTTGAAGGTGCTCCAGTGCAAAGGCGTTCCTTTGCACGGGAAAGGCTCCGACCTCGGTGTCTTGGAGTGCAGAAACCTCTACGAAGAGCTGCAGAAACTCAGAGAGCACCGATCCAATGCGACTTCAGGCCAGAGGCATGTGCTTTCGCAGAGACAGAAACAGACCGGGAGATTGTGTTTCTGTGTGTGGTGCAGGCACTACCGCCTCGGCCGAGACTGGTGAGGACAAGAAAGGCTCCGAGGGTGACGACAATAAAGCCACGGCAGAGGAAGAGCTGCTAGCTGTCGACATGGATGAGGATGAGGTTGTGCCTCGGCTGCAGATGTGAGTGAAGAGTGTGAGTCCCGCGCTATTTATTATGACCCTGCCCATGCTCAAGGCGCCTGTCAATCCGCCAGATCCGATTCAAGTTCGAGCTGCTGCCATGGCAACACAAGACCTTGCGAATGTGGACATAGTGCATGATGATTTTCCTGATTTTACAACACGTGTCCAGGAGAGAGGGGTGTAGCGCCTAGAGCAGTGTCCTGGTGATCAGTTCTCAATTGCAGCATTGTGTCCACAGCGTCCAGAGGAGTCGATCAGCACTACAGAGAAATTGATATTTATGGTCGAGGCGACGACCAGCAAGGTCTCTGTGATCCGTGATCTCATCCTGAAGGTGAAAGCGCTGGTGGCAGTGCTCCCCGCTGGTGCTTCGGATCGGTGGGTCCTCATTTGCTGCTTGGGCAGGCGGCTGGATTGCTTGGCTTCCGTGCACGAGTGTCTGGTCTATTCTAGACCTTGCAGCAGGCTGTCCCTTTTAAATCTATCGCGGGCTTATGAAACTCATATACTTGTGTAATTCCTTCCTACGTTACAGCATAGGTGTACACATGCAAGCATGTTTTGTTTAAGACACACATACATACATACATACCTACATACATACATACATACATACCAACTTGCATAGATAGCGACATTGACATTTTCACATGCACCCACTCACAAACTCTGTGTCTGTGAAACTCTGACATGTACATGATGTGTATAGTGTTTTCCCAGGATCTGCACAGTGGAGTTCGGCAAGGCTTGCCGTGTTCTAATGGTTCAATGCACGGCGGGGGCTTTGCAGAGCGACCGCCAGCTGCCAACTTACAGACTTGTCGTGCAGACGAAAGCCCTGGCGAAGCACGAATGTGTTCCTGCAAATGTGGCGGTGAATTCGGTGAGGGCCAGGTCGTGGGAATATTTGCGCCAACGATGTGTGGATCCGGATTGCAAACTCAGACCGCCAGCGCAACCTGTGACCGATGATGATAACCAGTCGGAAACCAAGGTTGAAAATGACGTGGATGAGGATGAGGTGTGCAAGGAGGAGTTGTGTCATGTTACTGAAGAGGACCAGGATGACGACGACCATCCCGCTCCCATTCCAGATGACGCTGGTGACTCCAAGGACTCCAAGGCGACCAAGCCTGGCAGGGTGATGAAAGAGTTGTATCCTTTTACACGGCCGATCGAACAAGGCAAAGCGACTCCATAAAAACAGCATGGCAAAGACCAGCGTGCCCAGGGTTTGCAGTTTTGGTCATGGAATTGAGGTTTTCATGGGCTGCCCTGACAGGCAAGCGTGTCTTGGAGCTCTTGGGCCACTCCGAGACGGCGACACGCCTCATTGTTCTGAGTCGAACAGCCCACCCAGGAGTGGTCATTGCCGGAAGACTTTGCAGGTTGAAAGTCATGGCATACTTCGACCACACAAGGCTTCACTCACAGAAGCACGGTGAAGCTCGTCTGCTTTTCTTATCTTGGCCCTGACTGAGCAAGTAATGTCAGATGTCATGTCATAGCAAACTCTTGCCAACCAAGGAGCTACTCCTGGAAAGCATGTTGGCTCAATTGAAACGACCGGAAGCAGAGAAAGCGCTGTTGGCAGAAGGAATCTCAATCAAGAAGCCGCCGGCAGCCAGCGAGCTCCAGTTCATGACTGCTGACGCAGAGGACCTGAGACATGCCTTTGCCGTCGTTGCGCATGCTCCTCTCTTCAGTCTTCCATGCCAGCGTCAGGATTCCGATCAAATGGTGCTGTGGCATGAAGCGGTTCCGGATTCGGTGACTTGCATCGTAATGTGTGTCGGCCTTTTGCCGGTTTTTCCTGTGCGTGAGTCCAGCATAAGGCTTCGCAATGGAGGTGCGGCGTGAACCACAGCGTGCCCGGATTGGCCGAGAAGATGGCTGAACTTTTGGGAGCTGAATTGGAGTCTTTCGGGCTGTCCATCGTCAGCACCCCCCACGGCAAAGCCTTGCGGACGGAGAAGCCACTGAGGCGAGCACGTAAGGCTGTCAAGTGTTCTTGCCCAGCCTGTTCTTTTTTTGCTGGTGTCTTACTGACAGGGACGGTGACCTGGCCCTCAAAGCCTCGGCTTTGTGGTTCACAGACAAGTCCAAGCTCCTCTGGTTCCTGAGCCAGGAGGACTTTGATGAGGTGTTTTTGGATCGCCTGATCAAAGTTCAAGGCGTGGGTATGGGAGGGTTTTGCAAATGCAGTCAGCTTCTGATGTGTTGTGCAGGCCTGAAAGCAGACGAGGGTGAGGCGAATAAACTGTTTGGTGCACTGGTGGGAGCTGCCGGGTATCTGCAGCACTATTCTGTTCACGGCAAACGTGCCCCAAACTGTGAGTTGACCGTGGACAGTGGAGCTGGCCCGTCGGACTCATTCGTGTCCGTTCATGTTCGCACACCCAACCAACAAGGACTGCTTGAGCATGATTGACTTGAGTTCAAAGGGTATGGGCATGGGTTTGTGTTCCTTGCCCTGCCGCTCCAGGAGTCGCGAGCGGCAAACTGCTTTTGATCTCCTTCGGCCCAGACTTTGATCTGGGTGCCAGGAAGAAACGGCCGGCAGGTGATCAAGACGGTGCCGACAATGCCAAGAAGTTGAAGACAACCTTGGACAAGTGGCTTGTGCAGAATGTCAAAGAGGACGTCGCAAGTGCATCAGATTGCAGTCCGGTCAAGCCAAAACCTCAGCCGGGCGCGCCGGCGGGAAATACAAATGGTGAGACGAAGCCGACACCAGTGCCGCCAGTGCCCAAGCCGGCAGACCCCAAG